GCTCTGTGTTAATGAGCGGAATGGTGTGATTGATGGCCCTGAGAGGAGGTAAGCCTGTTTCGCTTGCTTTAGCACATAATGGCTTAGCCCATTGGTATAATTGCTGATGCACCTGCTCCAGATTCTCCTCATAGGCCTCTGCGGCCCGTGATTCTAATACGGAGACCTGTTCACCTTTGATTGGTAAGGCTGAAGTGCTCCCAACGACAACCCAGGATGGGTTGAATCTGACCATTACCTGGTGCTGGAACAAAAACAGCATTCCAAGGATGAGGTCATATTTTTGTAAGTTGATGATATCAAAGAAGTGATCCTCACAGATCTTCTGATTATCCAGTTGCACCTTTGCGCCAAAATTCACTTTGGAATGTGACCCTTGTACCGCCAATTGGATGGTGAGGGGTTTTTCTAACACAATTTTCTTAATGCATAGTTGTTCCGCCAGGGTAGAGGACATGAAGTCCACTAATGACCTGGTGTCGACAAGCGCACAAGCAGGTCGTCTGTTTATATGTACTACTATGACCACAGGTTTTGGAATGAGGCGCTTAAAGTCTCATGTCACTGCTGCATTCTGCTGGATCTCAGGGTATGTGCCTGGGGCCACTTGCTGCCCATTGAGTTCTACTAATTGGAAGTGATCTAGTGTTTCAGTGAATTGCACATCCGGGATTGTGAATAGCTGCTGTACGACTTCCTCAAGTGCACAGTTCAGAGAGCTCATTGGTCCATCATCGAGCAGCCTGAAATGGTTGTTCTCCCATTCGATTTCCTTCTCAAATAGGGTGTTACTTGACTGACGATAAGCTTTCATTAATCATTTGGCATACCAGTGGGTGATGTTCAGCTTAGGGTTGTTAAGATAGACATTGTTGGCCCATATACTGAATGTTAAGTCCCTGTCCCAGATCTCAAAGGTAATGTCATCCTTGTACATTGTTCACTTGCAATGAAAGCGGCTGGGGGAGCTGCAACCAGGTAAGTTAGGCTCATTATTTAAAATTTCGCACAGACGCGTCGATATTGGGTCACCCATGCGGCTTTGCCAACGCATAAGCTGTATATATCATTTCGGCAAGTCAAACCGTTACGCTAGTTGGGTGGTATACCAGTCACTTATAAAAAAAATGCAGGCTGCCATAACAAAGAGGATGGGACTAATAAGTCCTCCTTGTTCCTGCGAGCCTAATTGACAATTGCATGGTAAGTATCTGATGTCTGGTAGACCCAGAACCACTGACCTGACAGAGTCTCTGTTCTACTAAGGTCGTCCCCGAGATATGGGGCGTGTATCACTAGCAACTGTTCTGTCCTTTGAGATATGGGATCCCCCAGAGGTACGTCCTCAATGTTCCAGGTTTCATCAGGACATTCTTCCTCACCTTTTCCATAGGACACACACATGCTCCCAACAGTGAGGGTATCAATTGTCTCAGTACTGTCAGCTAATTCGTGTAATTGCTCGGTAGTGTTCGTGTCAACAAGGACTGGCATAGCTGGGTACCCCAGGAGGCCTATCCCATCTAGCTAACAGTACATTGGTTCTCTTAGGGCACTGACAGGACATGTGCCCCACTTCTCGGCAAATAAAACAACACCTTTCAGACATCAATTATTGTGCTCATCCTTGCTGAGCTTCTCTTCTTGTGGGGTGTCCTGCCTTTTGTTGTTGAAAGGCTGACTTGGTCGATCCTTGCGCTGAGGCATGAACTTAGGCTTGTGCTGATTGTTTCCCTGGGTTGGGCCTGACTGTTAGGTACTGTGCTGGGCTCAAGAAGCGGAGGGGTTGGGGCTTGGCTTCAGCTCTTGCGCTGCATCCTTAGCTGAGTACGTGCCCCAATTTTAGAGCGGGTCCGACGTTGTCCGACAATAGGACGAGTAGACCGCTTGGTCCACTTTGAGGGTCAGGAGGTAAGTGCTATTAGTGGTGGGCCGACTAGGAGCGGAGTGAGGAAGGCGGAGGATAGTGCGGAGGGTGGATAGGAGAAAGGGGGGATTATTGATAGGGGCGGAGAAGTAAGGGGAAAGACTTAGAGCATGGCTCTAAGTCGGAGGCAACAACAAGATGAAACTTGTGTCCGGAGGAGGCAAGGTCCTACTGAGAATTCTCACAAGTAGTAACTGCAAGAAGACAAGTAATATTAAGACTGAGGAAATGTCTAAGTACAGGATATGTTATATACTTCTCAGTGTGAGGCAGTGATTAGGAGAACTATGTTGTAAAGCTATGTACCAAGGATATAATTTGTAAGTGCTTACACAGGTGAAGACATAAGTCGGAGTGGATATCAATATGTATGCAGTCAGATCAGTGATTGAGCAGGTAAGAGGAGTTACCGGTGATCCGGAAGTAAGGGTCTATATACCGAAGGGGAAAGTATATATCTAAAAAGGGGAAAGAGGTTCCAGTTGAGTGAAGACGTTCTAGAAGGTGACCGGTTGGGTGGATGAGCAGAAGCATAGGAGCAGATGTGGACTGTGATTGGACGGAGTGGAGGATGGATGGAGCGGAGGTAGTTGGAAGGCAGAGCAAATATTGATATTGGAGCGGTCGGATCAGGTATATGACACTGACACGGCGTTGTTCCGAGCCTCTGAGGTCTTGGATTGTCCTTCAGGCTTATCTCTTCCTGAACTTCCTGGCGCTGTGGGGGCCTTCCTCACAGTTTCTTGGATCTGTGGTCGCTGAGTTGGCGAGTTCGAACTATTTCAGTGGTGTTTTGCACCTTTCTCAATGATGACACTTCTGGGTTGAGCTGCATTTTGTACAGCTCATTCTGGATTGTCGGATTCAATCCGAACCAGAACTTCACCACTTTGTTGCGGTCTGGTATGTTCCCCTATCATCATCCATAATTTGTTTAACTCAGATAGGTAGTCTCTTACTCATTTATTGCCCTGATAGCAACGGTCTAATTTCTTCCTCTGCTTCAAACAGAAGTCCAGAGGGAAGCAATAATTGAACAATTTGGTGAAAAATTCCCTTAGTCTCCATTTATCGGCTTTGTCTGACACTTGCCTCATGTAGAAGTCATGAGCCTTCCCTTTGAGGTAGTGTGATAGCACAAACACTTGTTGCTTTCTGGCGACATTGCCATCTTGCATGTAGCCGGTTCCCTCGGTCATAAACCGATAGAACACCTGGGAGTTGACCAACCCATCATATTCGGCGGGCGGGATGGGTCTTAGCATGACCCTCCCCCTGTCCGATTTTTTAGCCGACCTCTGTTTCTTAGAGTGATCTCACTTTCTCTTGGACACCTTCGTCTTTCGAGCACGGGGTTCGCTCTCCGAGCTATTGGAAGAGGTGCTATCCGATGTTTTTTCCAAGGAGTCAGTTGAGCTCTCGGATGGGGATGATGATGATGCAGACGACTCATCATCTGTGGGCTCTGATCCTCTATGTCTCCTTCTTGGTTCGATTTGCTCGAACACCTGGCCTAAGTAGCTCCAAGGAGCTATTTGGGCCATCGAGTCCAGTGCTGCTGGTGAAGCCCAGGTGGCTCTTCTCTTTCCATCCCTGCTCACAGCCTTATTGACGATCCTTTCCACTGGGTTTCTAGTGGGTTTGTCGGTTTTCTTCCTGGCGGTAAGTCCGCCGTCTTTGCTAGGATTGAGTCCTTCTTCCTGATCTTGCTTTGCAGCTGATTTATTTGCTTCTCAAAGTTCAGGGCTACGCACTTCTCCGCAGCCTGAACCGCTCGTTCAATTTCAGTCTCAGGGGGTCTCACAGACCCTTGGTTGGATTCCTCAAGATCAGATTCCTGTGGTTCCTTCCGGGACTGATCATGGGCAGCTGCCCATGCTTTCAAAGCCTTTTCCTGGGCTTCTAGGTCCATCTCAGACTTGTCAATATTTACGTTTCCCCAGTTTTGTGGGTCCACACCCTTTCGCTTGGACGGTCCTTCTTCCAGGGATGATGTTTCCCCGTTTTGGCGTTTGTCCACCTCAGTGTTCCTCCGGTCAGGGTGGTGCTGTTTCACTGCTTCAGTTGGCCTAGTCTCGGCCTTCCTTACTTGGTCAGTCTTTCGGGACTGTTCCTTTTCATATTGATGACATGCCACCTTCTCAGTCTTTCTGCGACAGTGCTCTATTGTTGTCCAGGGCACTCTGTCATCCAACTTGTCAGTTGATTCACTCATGCTCTCAAGGGGGCTCTCTAGTGTTCTAATAATTTTATTAATGGTCTCTTCCGACAGTTGGGTATCATAATGGGTATTAGCCGTAGAGCTAGGAACACTAGCCGAACACGATCCAGCACAAGGCTGGGGCAATTCGGGCCTCATCCCTGCCACATTGCTGTATGAGCAGATGGGCTTTCAGATGGTGTCATCAGCTCGAGATGGGGATCTCTCTGCTGACGAGGGTATGGGGGTATCATTAGTTTTGATTGTTTTTAAAGGAGACTCACTCAGAGCTCTGGGAATGGTATCAACGCTGGTTAGAACTGAGCATTTTGGTTGAAGGTTGTATTGAGCAGACATGGTGTGTGATATTGTCAATTGGTTCGTAGTGGTGGGCCTAACCGTTACTTCCAGGGTCAATGAGGTATGAGCAGATAAGGTTGTTAAGTTCTAGGATAGACTTCTGTATGTCAAAAAAAATGTGGCATTGGCTATTTAGCATGCAAAGCTCAAAGGCAACGACACAGAGAGAAGAATGCTTTCGGTCGAATGACAGGGTAAAAGTCTGGGATTTGGGGGTCCAGAAAACACTAAGGTAACTCTAGTACTCCGACTCGTATATAAGTAAGTGCAGCTAGGGCTATATGAGACTCGGGATAAACAGGGAGTAATCTAATGAGATAAGGAGTAGCTAAGTTACTCAGATTGAATAAATAAGAGATATATATCAGTATCACAATGACAGACAGATATTGAATATAAGTGCATATTTGAGGGGTAAAGTAAAGGTCAAAAGAAAGACAATCAAATCAAAGGGACGTGGTATGTGTGGTTAAGCGCAGTCGTTACACCACTGGCAGCTATTTGTCTGTGGACATGGAAGAGCAGGGAGAAATAATTGAAGATGAAGAAGATACTTGGCTCGATGAGAAGCTAGTCTCTAAGCCAGCTGAGGATTCAGCCTTCAACATTGAGGCAGATGTGAACCTTCACATGCCAATTGTTACCAAGGCCTTGTCTGATCAATATGAGGAAAGTCCTAGTAATGACCCAGGTAGCACTCAAGGCAACGCTATAGAGGAGGATGATGCTGAGTTGGAAGGCATGGTAGCAGCTGTAGCAAAATTGTCATTTTTGGGTCATGTGGACATTAATAACATGTTAATAACAGCTGGATGACTTTTCGTCCGTACCCTAATATCGATCATGAACATCTTTCAATCCATGCACCTCATCTTCTGCATCCATTCTGCAAGCACTGGGGACTTGGGAGGCATGGCCCAGTTCTAGTTGCCCATATTATCAGTGGCTGGCGACTTCCAACCATCAAATATAGTCACCTGTACCTGTAGTATTGAAGCTTCAAAGTGTCAGATTAGGCACAAGCCTTGATGCCACAATGACTCTAAACTTGTGAGAGTGAAGCATCAAGTCAGAGACACTGCCCACCCTACTAATCCCTTTGACCATGAAGCATCAAGCTGGAGTGTTTGGTCCCATATATTCCCACACATGATATTTTCGCATTTTCCAGGCACAGTGTAGGAATTACCCCACAACACCAAAAACATCGCCCATTTTGGGAATCTCCACAATATGAGCCCCTTCAGTGACAAACTCTGTATTATACGAGGCAACTGATGTGCATAATATCCCGTATAACACAGGCCAGCGGACCATGGGCCGATGATGAAGATATCCTTGATGTTAACGGATGGCCAGGAATGATATTATTACCAATGAATATG